AAAAACACATCTGGGGAATAGTGAGCACCTTTGGGATGCCTCTGCAACCTGCTCCCATCCCCCAGTTACATCTGTGACAAGCCAGCCAGGAGGAAACGTCATAAGAGACTGTGTTACTTCAGTGAATCAAACCCCTCCCACTTGCTAAAATCACTTTTCTTATCTTTTAATTTGACCTTGGCGCTTTCTGCAGACACCTCCGGGACTCCTGCAGAGAGGAGGTGTGAACAGGAATTGTACACAGGACCTGTGGCCTCTGTACCTGGTGCTTTCTCCTTGAAGGATTTAAGAAAAGTGATAGGACAGATTTTAGCAAGTGGGAGGGGTTTGATTCATTCACCACTCTGAAGTAACACAGTCTCTTATGACGTTTCCTCCTGGCTGGCTTGCCACAGATGTAACTGGGGGACGGGAGCAGGTTGCAGAGGCATTCTCAGTTGTGTAAGATGTGTACCCCATACCCTACTATATCCTCCTCAGAACTACCCCCATGTTTAGGACTCCCTGTAGTTCCTCCCTCCACCAATGCTGACCAGGCCTCATCAGCTCCTATAACCCAAAAGGAGCCACAAAAGGCCAAAACGGACAAGGCATCTCAGGCTACTAGGATGCCCAGACTCTGCCCCCTACAGGCAGTAGGAGGAGAATTTGGTCCGACTAAGGTGCACACTCCCTTCTCACTTTCTGACTTCAAGCAAATCAAGGCAGACTTAGGAAATTTTTCAAATGACCTGGACAAGTACATAGATGTTCTGTAGGGCCTGGGTCAGTTCTTCAAATTAGACTGGAAAGATACAATGTTATTGCTTAGTTAAACCCTAATCAGCAGTGAGAGAAAGGCTGCCCTAGCAGTGGCTCAAGAGTTTGAGAGGACAAGTACCGTAGTCAAGTACATGACCAAATGACGCCAGAGGAAAAGAATAGATGTTCTACAAGTAGACAAGCAGTCCCTAACATGGACCCTCACTGCGATTCTGGCTCAGAATGGGGGAACCGAAGTCATAGACACCCCTTGATCTGCATACTTGAGGGATTAAGGTGAACTAGGAAGAAGCCATGAACTATACATAACTCAGGGAAAGGAAGAAAACCCAACAGCTTTCCTTGAGCAATTGCAGGAGGTCTTAAGAAAGTATACTCCCCTGTTACCAGACTCCATTGAGGGTCAGTTAATACTAAAGGACAAGTTTATTATGCAATCACCAGCTGACATTCCAAGGAAGCTCCAGAAGCTGGCCCTGGGGCCAAAACAGAGTCTAGAATCATTACTAAACCTAGCAACCTCAGTGTTTTATAATAGAAACCAGGAGGAACAGGCTGAAAGGAACAGGAAAGACCGGAAAAAATCCACAGCCCTTGTCATGGCCTTCAGGCAAGCAGACCTGGGGCTCGAAAAAGGAAAAGGCTTGGGTTAGCCACCAGTCTGGCAGAGCTTGTTACCATTGTGGCCTAATGGGACACTTCATAAAAAATTGTCCCCAGTGAAATCAACCATTACCTCGTCCTTGCCCACTGTGCCAAGGGAATCACTGGAAAGCACACTGTCCCAGGGAACAAAGGTTCCCAGGGCCTAAGGTGGCTAACCAAATGACCCAACAGCAGGACTGAGGGTGCCTGGAGCAAGTGCCAGCATAAGCCATCACCCTCACAGAGTCCCAGGTAAAGCTGACCATAAAGGGCCAGGAGGTTGATCTCCTCCTGGACACTGGTGCCACCTTCTCCATTTTACTCTCCTGCCCTGGACAGTTATCCTCCAAGTCTGTAACTGCCCAAGGAGTCCTAGGACAAGCATTCTCCCGATATTTCTCCCAGCCCCTGAGCTGTAGCTGAGGAAATATACTTTTCTCTCATGACTTCCTCATCATGCCAAAAAGTCTCCCTTACTAGGGTGGGACCTGTTGGCCAGAGCAGGAGCCATTATCTATATAAACCTCATCAGGGAGGAAATCCCTCTCTCCTGCCCATTATTTCAAGAAGGGATTGAATGGACAATTTGGACAGGCAAAGAATGCATGCCCAGTTCGCATAAGGCTAAAGAATCCCACCTCTTTTCCCTACCAAAAACAGTACCCACTAAGACCGAAAGCCAAAACAGAGCTACAGGATATTGTAAAGAACTTAAAAGTTCAGGGTCTAGTAAAGTTCCATAATAGCCCTTATAGTACTCCAATTTTAGGAGTACAAAATCTTAATGAACAATGGAGGCTGGTGCAAGATTTCAGGCTTATTAATAAAGCTGTAATTCCTTTATACCCAGCTGTACCTAACCCCTACACCTTGCTCTCTCAAATACCAGGACAGGCACAATGGTTTACAGTCCTGGACCTTAAGAATGCCTTTTTCTGTGTTCTATTACATCCTGACTCCCAGTTTCTGTTCGCCTTTAAAGACCATTTAAACCAGAGTTCTCAGTTCACCGGGACAATGTTACCTCAGAGCTTTAGAAATAGACCCCACCTCTTTAGCCAGGCTCTAGCCCAGGGTCTTAGCGATTTTCACATCCAGGTATCCTGGTTTCTCAATATCTAAATAATTTACTTTTAGCAGCAAACTCAGAAACCCAGTGTCAGCAGGCCACCCAGGACTTCCTAAACTTCCTTGCGGCCTGTGGATATGAGGTTTCCAAACTGAAAGCTCAACGTTGTAGGCAAGAGGTAACATACCTAGGGCTTGTCTTGTCTAAAGACATTCAGGCCCTTAATAAAGAACATCTCCAACCCATACTGGCCTTCTCCTTAAAACACTTGCAGGGATTCTTGGGAATAACTGGTTTTTGCTGATTGTGGATTCCCAGATATGGTAAAATAGCAAAACCTCTATACACTCTAATTAAGGAAACTCAAAAAGCTAATGCCCATCTAATACAATGGGACTGTATAGCTAAGGCAGTCTTTCAGACCCTAAAGCAGGCACTACTGCAGTCTCCAGCTCTAAGCCTTCCTACAGGGAATGACTTCTCCTTATATGTTAGAGAAAAGTCAGGAGTGGCCCTGGGGGTTCTCTTAAGGCTGCCTAACAATCGCTCACATATCAGGCCTTAATGCTCAAAGGACCTGTACTTCAGCTACACACATGTGCAGCCCTCAACCCAGCTACTTTTCTTCCTAAGATGCACACAGAACATGACTGTCAGCAGGTTATAGCTCAAAGCTATGCAGCTTGAGAGGATCTCTTAAAACCTCCTCTAGCCAATCCTGACCTTAACCTATACACTGATGGAAGTTCATTTATGAAAAATGGAGTTCAAAAGGCAGGGTATGCAGTAGTCAGAGTTCAAACAGTGCTTAAAAGTAATTCCCTTCCTCCTGGAACTAGCTCCCAGCTGGCAGAACTAGTAGCCCTCAACTGAGCTCTAAAGTTAGGAAAAGGAAAGAGAATAAACATACACACAGATTCCAAATATGCTTACCTGGTTCTGCATGCTCATGGTGTCATATGGAAGGAAAGAGAGTTTCTAACCTCGGCAGGCAGGTTTTTTTTTTTAATTTCATCACTATAATTTTAATCATTAGGCATATTAATGTCACATACAGTTTTTAAAACATAAATATTTTTAGAAGCTATGTTTTACAACATGATACCAAGGAAACATATCTGATATAGGTTTGTTTTCAAGCTATTGATTATGAACCTCTTGGTTTCAAACATCTCTTATGTGTCAGAAATACAATCAGAATACTGTAACAGTAAGAGAAAAATACTTTTTTTTGAGACAGGATCTCTCTCTGTCACCCACACTGGAATGGGGTGGTACAATCACAGCTCACTGCAGCAGAGATAAATATTTAATTTAACTCCCATTAAATATCATAAAGAAATTTTAAATTTATTACAAGCTGTCCAAAAACCGAAAGAGGCAGTCTAACACGGGGTCATCAGAAAGGAAATGAGAAGGAAGCAGAGGGCAATTGCTGAGCTAACCTAGAAGCAAAAAGGGCAGCTAAACAAGAATTTATAGAAGAACCTTAAATATGGGAAAACCTTCTCCAGGGAACTAAACCTCAATACTCATCAGAAGAGTTAGAGTGGGCAATCTCCCAGGGACATAATCTTCTTCCTTCAGGTTGGCTAGCTACTGAAAAAGAAAAAGTACTCCTACCTGCTGCCAACCAGTGGAAATTATTTAAAACCCTGCATCAAACCTTCCATATAGCTACAAAAAATACACATCAAATGGCCAAATCTATATTTACAGAAAAAGATCTCTTCAAGGCTGTCCAACAAATAGTCAAAAGATGTAAAATATGCCAGAAAAATAATCCTTTGGTACATTGGAAAGCTCCTCCTGGGGAACAGCTAGCCAGTCATTACCCAGGTGAGGACCTGCAAAGGGACTTTACCCACATGCCTAAGTCTTGGGGATATCAATATCTGCTAGTACGTGTGGACACCTACCCAAACTGGGTTGAAGCTTTCTCCTATAGAACAGAAAAAGCCCAAGAGGTAATAAAATACCTGATTAATAAAATAATCCCTAGATTCGGACTCCCTCGCTGTCTTCAAAGCAATAACAGTCCTGCTTTCAAAGCTGCAGTGACCCAAGGAACTTCCAGGACGTTAAAAATACAGTATCATCTCCACTGTGCTTGGAGGCCTCAGTCCTCAGGCAAAGCGGAAAAGATGAATAAAATTCTTAGGAAACACCTAAAAATAACTGGCCCAGGAAACCCACCTCTCACGGCCTTCTCTATTACCAATAGCACTCTTAAGGGCACAAAACTCTCCTCAGAAAATAGAACTCAGCCCCTATAAGATGTTTTTGAATGGTCCTTTCTTACTAATAATATTGTATTAAACAAGAAAACAGCAGATCTAATAAAAAATATACATAACCTTCTTGGCTAAGTACCTACAGGCACTTAGAACCTTACCTAAAGAGCACCCTAGGGAAAAAGTTCTGCCCGGAGACTTGGTGCTTGTTAAGTTTCTCCCTTCAGACTCTCCCTCTCTAGGCCCATCTTGGGAAGAACCATTTTCAGTTACTCTTTCTATCCCAACAGCAGTTAAGGTGGTGGGAATTAGCTTATGGATTCATTACACTCAACTAAAGCCTCGGACACCTGCTGAAGAAAATCATAGGCCCTCCACTCCGCAGCCTAAAGTTCCAAATTGCAACCCTTCGGACACCTGCGAGCCATTAGCGAATATGCGTTTGCTCTTCCAACAAGATCCCCAGGAAGGTAACTACTCATAAGTCTAATTTACATCCTGGCATTAACAGGACTATCACTCTTAACTTTGCTATCTCTCAAACTCCAATTATGCCAATAGTTGGGGGGAAAGCCAGAATAATAGAAAAACTTGGTACTGGCATTAGAAAAGTTACTGCCTCTACTTAGTTTTAATATAAGCTATCTCAGGAGTCAGATAATAACATGGAAAAGTTTGCTAATTCTCTCTGCAGAGGCAGCTCACTCTGAAGAAACAGCTTAACTCTTTGGCTGCCGTAGTTCTTCAAAGTAAAAAGGAAACCAATTAAGTATTGTCTTAAACAAAGTTAAAGAACTCAGAGATCAATCAAACACAGGGCTAAAGACCTTCAACAAACAATATCATGGAGCTTGTTTAACAACTTGCTGTCCTAGTTCTATCCTCCCGTAGGCCTGTTTATAACCATTCTATATTTGTTGGCCTCTGGGCCTCTCATCTTTAACCTTCTTGTCACATTCATTTCTTCTAGAATTAAAACCATAAGGCCACAAATAATCCTGCAAATGGAACCTCAGATGTCCTTGGCTCATAAGCACTATCATGGACCTCTGAATCAACCTGCACCCCTGAAAAACTCCCCTTTAAAGAAAATCTCAACTGCAGGGCCCTTTCTACGCCCCAATTCAGCAGGAAGTAAAGAGTAATCATTGCCCATGTCCCAACAGCAGTTGGACTTTCCTGTTCAGAGTGGGGACTGAGGGACTATGTTAACTTCTCTTCCCAGGTCCACAAGGGGCATGGTTTCAAAGGCAAGAACTTCCCAGCATCATATCTCCATTCCACCTCCCCATTCGGGAGCCTAGAGTTCTTTGTCTAACTGTCCCGTGTATGGAAAGGGTAGGCAGCCCAGGCGAGCTTCGTTTGTTTAGAAAGTCCATCAAAAGCCTTTGAAGGAGGGGCTCTATTGTGAGCCAGGCAGCCAATCCAGCATCAGAGTCAAAGATCAATCACTCCAGAGGAAGTTTAAAGGAACTCCTCTCATGGAACAAGAACTTGAATGGGCGGAGTAACTCCCAGATTAAAAATCCCCCTAACTCTTATTTGTGTGAACTCCATCTCTGGATCCCCTCTCATAACAGTATGGGATCTCTCTCTCTCTGCCTAATAAATCACTTTCTGCAAAACTGCTTGGGTCTGATATTTACTTGAATAATATCACTGCACCACCTGGAAGCCCAAGGACCTGAAAAAAACACACCCAATCAGGGAACAGTACGCACCTTTGGAATGCCTCTGCAACTTGCTCCCATGCCCTAGTTACAAGACTATGAGTGATTCAGTGGAGATGTCTGTAAGACAGCATCTCACAAGACCTCCTGATTACAACCTCCCCCAGCTTGTCACTAAAATACTTAATCAGCTTAGAAAAGACTAAAAATGCTCTATTAAAAATTAGGAGTGACAATCACCTATTGATCGAATGTGGTAAAGTTTCTAGTTGCTGTTTGATCCATGCAGTCAGAGAAAGGGTAAATCTCTCTCTACCTGGAAGTAAGAAGGAAGCCCTTCAGCCCAACTAACCACTCCATTAGATCAGAAACAGAACTGTTCTAACTCGAGACTGACAGGTGTCACCCCTTTACAAGGGTGGCTTTGGGAGCAGCCATAGTGCTATTGCTTCCCAATCCTTTTTTCTGTCCCTTTAACATTCTCTTTCCCTCTTTTATTACATTCAATAAATAATTACAACTCATAGGAAGCTGAGGAGAGGTATTCATGGAGTGATATACATCTGAGGTGATATCCCCACAGAGACAGGAGTCAGCGAAGCCTTTGAGCATTATAGTTTTTCTTTATTTTCCATCTATTCAGTATCAGAGAGTCAGACAGTGGTGCTGGTGGTAGTGGGAACAGGAGGTAGAGACTTCATTTCGGCCTTGTGAAGCTGCAGCAGATAACAGAAAGTTGTATTAGATCTACTCTCACCGTCCCCAAGGGTGCAGGACTCTTCATTCCACTCCCTACTAAGCCTGGATATCGTCCTTGCCCAAGTTCTAATACTGAACAGGTTTTTTCTTTTGTGTAGCTATATTGTGGGGAGGAAACACTTGATAAATTCTCCAAGAATTGCAGAGAAAAATTACATACAATAAAAATAAAGAGAAAGGAATAGGAATCAACATGGCAGACTAGATGCAGACAGGAAGAGCTGCTCCCACTGAGAGACCAGACCTTTGTGGAGGAAAAGTTAAGTATTTTGATCATGGATGCAAACAATGGTCACTAAGTCCAGGAACAGGTTGTCTGAGCCCCTTGAGGCATTCATCCAGCACTGTTTTGGAGAAATCTCTATTTCAACCTATTCCTATATATTAGTTATTGAAAAACAACAGACAATTGCAAAAACAAGTTTTTTTCTGTTTTTTTTTTTTTTTTTGCAAAGACCTTTTTGTGTTCCTTGAGCCCAGTAGCAAAGGGCCATGTGACTAGGCCTCATGCCAAACAACTCATTACAAAAAGAGCTAGGGTTCCAGACTGCACCAAAGCTTCATGAGACCTCTTCTTGTCTGTGCATGAATGAGTGGCTCACTCTGGAGCCCAGGCCGTTGCTTCATGGTCTGGTGATGAATCTCCCATACACACACACACACACACACACACACACGCACACACACACGCACACACACATTTTTCCTTCTTTTCGTCCCATTGCAATTTGCTTATCATTTGCTTATTATATATCTATTGCCATATACTTGGGATAAAGGTGGTTTACCCCTAAGAGTATTGTGTGTGCCTTTTGTTTTCCCCTAGCACATTTTCCGTACAGAAGAACCATCAAGAATACCAGCACACACTGAACATGTCTTAGGAAAGAACTCATTTAGAGTGGATGGAGGGAGGATTCAGACCCCAGGCTGAAAGAGTAGGAAAATGGGAACCCTGCAGAGGGTTGCCAAGCACTAGGACTCAGTCCTGGCCCCAAGCAGCTCAATGAGTTCATTTTGCCCACAGTCCAGATAGAGCTAGTTTATCAAGATAGTCTGGTCCCTAGCCAAGAAGAGGGTTTGTTTCTGGAAAGGGCTGTTATCTTTTTTTCAAAGTTAAAGTATAAACTAAATTCCTCTGAAAGTTAGTTTGGCCTGCACCTAGGAATGAACAAGAACAGCTTGGAGGTTAGAAGCAAGATGGAAACAGGTCAGATCTCTTTTCAGTCATAATTTTTTTCCTGATAATTTTTGCAAAGGTGATTACACTGGGGAAGGGAGTATGTGAAATAGGCAATTAGTGGTCCATTCTTGCCACAGACCTCCAGAATCCTAGATAAAGGAGATCCCACACCCTCAACAGACACTTGAGCTTACAGGGAGAACTGCCCAGAGCATTGACAGAGGCAAAACTCCACCCAAGGCTCACCAGGCTGCTTTAGGTGGCTTTGGCTTTTGTTAGCTGCTAGACCTAGACCTGAGCAGGGATATCTTGCCGGTGGAACAGGGCCAGTGTGATCTAAGTACCCACTGTCTGCCGACCTATCCCAGAGTCCTTGCCTGCTGAGCACATGTGCACACACAGACACTTCAGAGTTGTTAGTTTAGACATTATATGTTTTTGTTAGGAAACCAAAAGAGACATGTAAAAAATAAAAATAAATAAATAAAAATTAAAAAAATGAAATTGTTCCTCAAAAAAACCAATAATAATGCAGATTTTTCCATAGGCCCCTTACTTCACTGCACACAGTGAGTTCCAGTTTTGCAAATACTCATGGAATTTGTTCTGTGATTCAAATGTTCTGACATTCAAATGTTCTGTGATTCTTTTCTAGGTCTCTGAAGAAAAGTAACCAACAATCAGAAATTATTTGTGATTTGGGGAAAGAACTTGTTTTATGAAGTCATTCAAAAGTCTTTTTCTTTTTCTTTTACTTGAATGTCCAATAACAATTTGAAGTTATTCCTTTGATGATTTCAATACACTTATCATACTAGCATCAATCCTGTCTTTTAATTTTTTTATTTTTATATGTTTTTCTGAAAGCTGAAGTAAGTCCGGCCTTTTTAATAGCAAACAACTTGGCTGACAAACTAGCAGAAAATGGAGGAATTTAAAGAAAAATATACACAGATATATACTTGGTAAACTACAGCAAGCATGAGGTATTTATGACACCTTGATTATTGAGATTTAGCTTTTTCAGTATAAAAGAACATTCCTGTTGCAAAAATCTGAGAAGGAAAGATGGCAGCAAGGATCAAAGAAACTGAACAAGCAGTGTAATTGACATGACAGAGCTGGTATAAGCCACAATTCCAATTAGTAAGTGCAAGGGAAAGAACATAGATTAATTAGGGTAGTTACCCAGGGAATCCCTGAGGGGACACGTTTTACAGGCATGAATTTAAAAAAGAAAGGAGCAGAGTCTAGGAGAAATACAATAGACTGGCATGAATCTTTGAGAGTGCCTAGAAAATCAAAGCCAAAAATAGGCTGAGGCTTAAGAAAAAGGCAGAAAACAACTAGAGGGACGTTTTTATTTGATCTGACAAAAAGCAGAAAGAAAATGTACCTCATGAAGCGTTAGAACTTTAAGCAGATAAGGCTACCCTAAGGATGCATTTGCTTGCTTGGAATAAATGCAAACCTCCAAGCTCAGAGAAAAAACAGACACAATACAGCAGCAAATGTGAGTAAATAATCTGTCAATCATTATTTGAAAAATTACAGTGAATTAGAGATATAAAAGATCTGTACAAAAGAAAACATTGCCTCAGTAAGAGGAGTGGTGCCTGATGCACTGATAATATGGATTTATCCTTATGTCACATTGTTCATTTTCAGCCATCCTTATATGTGGTCTCTCACATTGTCATCTGTCACATGTAAGTCTGCTCTAGAATGGATGCACATATCATTCTCCAAAAGCTGTTGGTTACCAGTTACAGAAAATGCTGAATCTCTGTGTCCCCGACTACATACTGCAGATATTTTGAAATATAGTGTGTTCTTCTACTTACAAGAATTTGCTGTCACTAATATTCTTAGCTGAATATAATACCAGCTTCCAATAACTTCCCACCCTAGGGACGATCTCTCTTACATGTCTGCAGCTGAGCAGGCTTCTCTTCCATGTGTCTTCTCCTCTCTCTATCCCTCATCTTCTTCCTCCTTTGTTTTCTCTTTCTGCTGAGAAGTAAGGTGCTTCACATTCCTCTTTTTTTTTGTTCTTGGAGAGAATTAATTCCAGCTTTGAGTCTAAGGTCAAAACAAATTATCCAATGGACAGCACAGACAGCATCTTATTTCCTGAGTACCACTAATAAGTATCCTACCCAATAAGCCATCACTAGAAAGTGAGGGGCACTTGGCAATTAATTTTTCAGGGCCTTGTCTAATACTACCAGTTTGATCTTTAAAACAAAATATGAATTCATGGGCTCATGTAAGGTATGGTGATTTTTCAATGAAGGGATAGAATGATGAGTAGAAAAGAGACACATATTGGTTTCTTTTCCATTCAGTGCATATGAAGATTCTGCTTAGTGTTAAAGCACCATCTCTTCCTGTCCAGGTACAGGAATCATCAGTTCACATTCTTCACTGTCATCTGCAACATTTTTGGCTCTTTCATACTGCCTCCTGGGAGAAAAAGATAGCAATGCTGTTATTACTAACAATGCTACGGCTCTTCAGATCTGTTCATATTTTTCAAAATATAGGCCTCTTTCCTCTTTAGTTCCCTAACTCCATTTAGTTAGTGCTGATTACTTCATTGCTTCTGACACCACATCATTCATCGTGCTGCCTATAAATATTGGCATCTAATGACTCACACAAAAGTTCTTATTATACTTCATTGACAATGCCTACATATATGCAGGTTTTAGTCACAGGATGCACAAAAATATAAATGATCATTTGTTTTGATTGTGTTGTTTACTCTTCACATTTGTATGGTGTAAAACAAAACAACATATCTTCCAATCTTACGTTTTCTTTAAACTCTTTAGACCACAGTCCTGGCATTTCTTGAATGTGATATTTTTGCATGTTGACCACACTCTTGTCTTCCACACGCTGCCACCCAGGTGAGAGATAAAAGGAGTGTTTCCATCAGGGCAAGAAATGTCTCTCACTTATTCAACATACCTTAAGACCAAGCTGGGAGAACGTGATGTCACCACATCGATCAGAGGCAAGAGAGAACATCAGCTGAGAGGGCCCATTGGCACTGCAGAACCACAGTCTGAAAATGCTTATGAAGAAAGAGGTGCAGCCACTCCCAGAGGTGGCCTAATATGTAGTATGGAGCCTATGAAGGGAATGGGGCAAATGATCTTGCTGCCTTCGGGTATCGCAGACTGCAGATGATCTTGCTGTCACAACATGGATAAGCAAGAGCCAACACACGGATCCAGATACATGGCTCAAGGCCAAGGGATAGTAGTGGCCAACTGGTACTCCAAGGCCCTGAACTCATCCTGTGTACAACATGTTTGAGAGTTACCCAGAATGATCACATGAGCAACATTCTGGGAACCAAATCTTGTGTGAGCTCACAAAGGAAATACTATGTGGGTTTTCAGGAGTGATCAGCTTACCAAGCTACCCTTCTGGAACCAGGATCTAGCCATTTGAGCCCAGCCATGAAACCCTAGGATGCTCCCTTAGGTGCAAATATTACAGGTACTCTAGTTAAGTCTGTCATGTAGGTTGAGGAGCTCCAAATACCTCAAAAAGGAGAAAATGAGACTGAGGCCCATGCATGTCTCAATCCAGCCTCAGAGATCTCTGATTGGATGGCCCTACCAGCCCCTGCTTTCACTGTACCCCATAAGTTTTGGTATGTTGTGTTTTTGTTTTCATCCAACTCTAAGTATTTTCTAATTGTCCTTGTGATTTCTTTTTTGACCCATTTGTTGTTTAAAAGTATGTTGTTTAATTCCATGTATTTATGAATTCTACAGTTTTCCTTCTGTTACTGACTTCTGACTTCATTCTTTTGTTGTTGGAGATGATGTTTTGTATGTAGATATCATTTAAAATATATTAAGACTTGTTTTCTGGCCTAACATATGTCTATCCATGAAGAAGTCTTATGTTCACTTAAGACGAATGTATATTCTGCTATTGTTGGGTAGAGTGTTATGTATATGTCTTTCAGGCCTAGTAGGTTTATTGTGTTGTTCAAGTTCTCTATTTTCTTATCATGTCTAATTAATCTATTCATTATTGAAAGTGTGTTTCTGAATTGTCCAACTATTATTGTAGAACTATTTGTCTCCTAAATACTGTCAATTTTTGCTTCATGTTTTAAGAGTATTGTATATAGGTGTGTACATGCTTATAATTATCATATCTTATATTGAACCTTTTATTAATATGTAATATCCTTGTCTCTTATGCCTTTTTTTATTTGAGGTCTATTTTATGTGATATTAGTCTACCTGCCTTAGCTCCGTTTAGGTTACTATTTGCATGAAATATCTTTTTTCCTTCTTTTACTTTCAACCTGTGTATTTGGATCTGAAGTGTTGTAGACAGCATATAGTTAGATCTACTTATAGATCTATACTATAGATCTTTAGATGTTTAAAAACATCTATTTTGCCATTGGAGAATTTAATGCATTTACATTTAAATTAGTTAGATATAAGGAAAGATCTACTTCAGCCATTTTGCTATTTGTATCCCTTATAGTTTTTTGTTACTATTCCTCTTTTCACCCATTACTGCCTTCTTTTGTGTTTAGTTGATCTTTATGTGAATATTCTATAAATATTTTCTTGTGATTGCTATAGGGATTATGTTTAATATCTTAATGTTATAATAACCTAATGTAAATTTATACTAACTTAACTTCATATAAATATTCTTGTTTCTATAGAGTTCTGTTCTCTGCTTTGGTTATTGATGTCACAAATCATATCTTTATGTTCTGTGTGTCCTGTAACATATATGAATAAATGTTTTATGCATTTCTTTTTAAAATCACATTAAAAAATCAAAAGTGCAGTTGCAAACCAAAATTATAAAAATGTTAACTTGTATAATTGCCCAAACATTTATCTTTACCAAAGATCTTTATATCTTCAAATGGCTTTGAGTTACTGCCTACTGTCTTTTCATTTTATCTGAAAAAACTCCTGTTAGTATTTTCTGCTGTTCAGGTCTAGTGGTAACAAACTTTCTCAGTTTTTGTTTATTTGGGAATGTCTTAATTTTTCCTTCATTTTGAAGAATAATTTTACTCTATGTAGAATTTCCAGGAAAGGCACTTTTCTTTCACTTGAATATATTAACCCACTGCTTTCTAATCTCCAGGGTTTTGGAGGAATCAGCTTATTGTCTTATGGAGAATTCTTTGTATGTGACAAGTCAATTCTCTTTTGCTGCTTTCAAGATTCTCTCTTTGTATTTAGCATCTATAGTTTGATTATAATGTGTTTTGGTATGGGTCTTTGATTTTTATCCCACCTGAATTTTGTTTAGCTTTTTGGATTTGTAGATTCATAACTTGCACCAAATTTGGGAAATTTGTGGCCATTATTTCTTCAAATAACCTCTCCATCCCCTTCTCTTTCTCTTCTACTTCTGGAACTTCCACACTGTGTGTGTTGGTTTGCTCGATGGTGTCTCACAGGTCCCTTAGGCTCTATTTATGATTCTTCATTTTTTTTCTTTCTGTGCCTCTGACTGAATAATTTCATATGACCTATCTTCAATTTCATTGATTCTTTCTTCTTCCTGATAAAACCTACTGTTGGGCCCACTTGGTGAATTTTTTATTTCAATTATTGTACTTTCAACTCCAGACTTTCTGTTGGTTTTTCTTAAATAATTTCTCTCTCTTTATTGGTATTTCCATGAGAGAATATAGTAATAATGAGATATTATTCTTATACTTACCTTTTTTTCTTTAGACATGGTTTCCTTTAGTTCTTTTAGCATATTTTAAAAGCACACTTAAAGCCTTTGTTTAGTCTTTGCCCAGTGTCTGACATTCTTTAAGGATATTTATTGACTGCTTTTTTCCTGTTTATGGGCATATTTTCTTGCTTCTTTGTATGTCTCATAATTTCTTTGTTGAAAACATGATATTTTAAATAATGTGACAACTCTGAAAATCAGACTGTCTTCTCTCTCCAGGGTTTGTTATGGTGGCCACTGATGTCCTTGCTTGGTTTGCTTAGCAGTCAACTAATAATTAAACAGAAATTTTCTTAAGTGCCTAGGATGAGTAAGTCATCTCCCAGTCTTTGAGAAGGAGGCTCTGTGTGTGTGCTGAGGCATCCCATCAACAGCCAGCAGGAAATTGACAACTCTGCCTTAGTCTTCATATCTAGCTCAAGCAATGCTTCAGTATTAGCTAGAAGTGAGAGCTTAGGGACTTTTCAGATATTTCCTGAGCCCATATATATTCCTGGTTGTATGTAGAGTTCTATACATGTATAAGGTCTTATAGATTTTTGGAAATACTTTGGAGCTTTTTAAAGCCCCCTACAGATATCTCATACCTGAGCTTTTCTTTATAAGCTTTTTAATGAGCTTATTACTTGCCCCAGTTGTTTATCTCAGGTAGTTGCAATGCTAAACAATTGCTTCTTGTTTTCAACCAATGACCCTGAGGAAAGGTTGTTCATACTATGTGAACTCTGAGTATATTAAATAAAGACATCTTTGTAAATGGGGCCTTCCAGGAAAGTATCAGATAATTCAAATATTGACAATTCTGTGAGGCTTTGAAGGGGCTCAGACACCTTTCTGCTCTTTTCAGTAGCTGCCAATTTTTGATGTGGTGATTAAGGTCTGAAATACTCACTGAAGCCTCCTAGGTTGTTTATTTTTTAATTGATGATTTGCAACTGAACTTATGGGTTTGAAAAACTTGGCTTGATTATTTAAAGAACTAATAATTTTACCTTTTGATACTGTCTTTGCAAAAATTATAACAGTGGGAAAATTATGACAGTGAAAGAGATCTGACCTGACCAACTGCATCTTGCTTCTAACATCTAATCTGTCCTTGTTCATTGCTGGGCATAGGCCAAACTATCTTTGAGAGAAACTTAAATTTAAGGTTAACTTTGAAACAAGATGATAATAACCTCTTCACGAAACAAACCTTCTTCTTGCCTAGGGACCACACTGTCTTTGTAAGATTAATACATTAGCCATTATACAAAAAATTATGGTTTAGGGAGTCATGCATCTTGAGGCCATAAGATTCCAAACCTCCCCAGTTGCTCCTAGGCATAACACCACTATTGTAAAACCTAAAATTTATGCTTGAGATATTTTTCAGACCCTGAATTCTGATGCACCAGCTGATGCCACCCAGACTGGTAATTTGGCCCAACCAGTTTTGTGATCCCACCCAGGAAAAGAAGGCAGCGAGAAGCAGCTAATTTAAGCCCCTATGATTTCATCTTTGATCTGACCAATCAGTACTCCCTACTCCCTGGTCCCTACTCACCAAATTCTCCTTAAAAGCTCTGGTCTCCAAATGTTCATGGCGACTGATTTCAGTAATAAAACTCTGGTTTCCCATTTAGCTGGCTCTCTGTGAATTAAACTCTCTCTCTACAGCTATTCTCCTGTCTTGATAAATCAGCTCTATCTTCGCAGTGGGCAAGAAAAATCCATTGGGCCATTACACTTTAAGGTCTTTCTAGAACAAAATTCTCTCACAGACAATGGTAGCTCAAGCTGCTGATACAGCATGGCCATTTGTGCAAATAAGGGCTCTTTGCACATTGGATGTCTCTCTGACTTCCTATGCTCTTCTGTACTCTCTTTCTTTTGCTATATCATATCCTTTGCCTTTAAATAAATGCCTATATGAATATACTCTGTGGAGTCTGGTGAATCATTTCAAATAACCAAACTGGGAAAATCTTTGCAATGCTATATCTATACAATATAATACTATGCAGCCGCAGAAAAGGATGTGGAATGTATCTGTGGACTGATATAAAAAGATATCCAGGATATGTTGTAAAATAAAAATGTAGGTGAGGAACTGCGATATAGTATACTGTTTTTCTTGAAGGACGGGAGAGAAATACAGGTCATATAATTGTATTTGCTTGATTTGCATGAGGAAACACTGGAAGATTACACACACACAAAAACTATTAAAAATGATGAACTATTGAAGTGGTGGAAGCAAGATATCTTAACATATAAATTTTCATATTGAAGATACTTGCACTTGCATGTTTATAGCAGCACAATTCACAACTGAAAAATCATTGAACCAACCCAAATGCCCATCAATCAACCAGCAGATAAAGAAACTGTGGTGTATATATATGATGGAATACTACTTAGCCATAAAAAGGAATGAACTCACAGCATTAGCAATAATCTGGATGAGATTGGAGACTATTATGCAAAATGAAGTAACTCAGGAATGGAACACCAAACTGTGTATGTTCTCATTGATATGTGGGAGCTAAGCTATGAGGATACAAAGGCATAAGAACGATAAAATGGTCTCTGGGAACTTGGGGGGAAGAGTGGAAGGGAGCGAGGGATAAAAGACAACAAATATGGTGCACTGTCCACTACTTGGGTGGTAGGTACATCAGGATCTCACAAATCACCACTAAAGAACTTACTCATGTAACCAAATGTCATCTGTACTCCCATAACTTGTGGAACAATATAATAATTAAAAAGTAAAAAATTCATATTTTGATTTTTGAAACTCATATTACGCACTCGAAAAATTAAAAGTTCAAATTAAACAAAAAGAAAAGAAAAATTAAGTCATGTTGTCTAAGAGGTATAATAAAATATACATGGTTTCAAATAAGTACCAACAAATAAAGATGGAAAAATAATAGACATGTCAAAGCATAAACAAACAACAAAAGTAAATAGCAGCACGAGAGAGGAAGCTGAAGTTTTACCTGGGTAGCATGGAAAAGGCTTGGATTATTGCTTTCGTTCAGGACTTCTGAAGAGCAGCACTAATGACATTTTGGGCAGGATACTTCTTTGTTGTGGTGGGCTGTCCAGTGCATTGTCAGAGGACAGCCCGCCTCTACCCACTAAATACCAGTAGCACTTCCTCCCCTGAGTTGTGACAACCAAAACTATCTTCAAACATTATCAAATGAGGTGCCGGTGGTGGCAGGGGCACAAAAATTGTGCCCAGTTAAGAACCATTGCTCTAAGTAAGTAGATTTTCTGAGCAGCTCTAGAAAATGTTTTCCTAGCAACTGGTCTATATTCCAAAACCACTTTTTCATTGAGATGTCAAATATTTCATATAATACTTTTCCAGTTCTTTATTGTTACTGTAATCTTGATGCAGCCAGTATGTTGTTTTGTAACTCCTTTGGAGTGACATTAACAATTTACCAGTGGTATTTTCCCTTTAATAAGATACTTAAATTGCTGAATCATTTGGTGTGACTTTATTACTTTGAAACTTTTTGTGTGGAAGTCAATCTCTATTTCTTTAATGATATTAGAAAAATGGAATTAAATACTTGTGTCCATATATGTACTTGAGAGGAGGATTAGCTTTAATATGTTTGAAATAATCCTGTTACTGACTTCCTTTCTTTTTTACCTTTCCTTGAGTGCCTGGAATTCTTCGAAATCCTTCAAGAAATTGTCCAGGGGTTGTCAAGTCCAGTAATTAGTTAATTAGCACCACAGCTGTCACAATCCCAATCTGAACAACCTAAACTGAGATGCCACTCCTAGCACAGTAGCTCATTATTCTGGCAGCAGAACTTGTAGTAGGTATGCAGAAATAGAAGGAACTTCTCTCTCTGCTCTACCTATGATCTTCTGAGAGTGATGCATGTGGTCATAATTATTGTTAAATATAATCCTTCCATTTCTGAAGAAAGCAAATCCAAAAAATTAAGTCATATGGTCTTAATGTGGACTGGTCCACAGATTACAGCACAACTATCTGCCTGAGCTTAATTTTAAATCTCCTTCCACTTCCCTGTCTTTTCCAGAGAGTGATGGTGGTGGTGTTAATGTGATTCATTTCAGTTCAAGGAACAAGAAAGCATGCATTTCCCAGGAGAATCACCGTGGTCTAGCCCATCTCTGAACCCAGGTGAAAGGGTTTCCTCATTGGAAGTGACATACGGTCAAAGCAGCAGTAAAGCGAACACCGTTTTATACCTGCTTTGGAAAAATTATTATATTTTCCCTGTAAACACACACACACACACACACACACACACACACACACACACACACACAGAGGAATCTCAAGATGGGGTACTCTACAATATTCAGCCTGCAGCGGGATCTAACTACCTTCCCTTCCGTCCCCAGTGCCTCCGGATGCTTGCAATCTCATTCCCAATTCACCAGCGTGTGTGAGTGCAGACTCCAGACCCAGCACAGAGGCCAAGAATTTGACCAGGGGCACCAGCTAAATAGCAAACAGATGCCATGTCAAACATATGAAAACCTCAGAGACTAGGGTTCCTCCGGGAAAACCAGTTCCAGCCCAGGAATTTCTGAGTAGAAAACCTGGCCGCCGGATTGTTTAATTCTCTTTGCTTGACTGGAGCCGGTTTTGAAAGCCAAGTGTCCCCTCTCCCCCAGCTTCAGGAAGGGAAACCCCAACTCCCGGCGGTGGCAGAGCTAAGAAAACCATCCCGCCCGGCCCCTTCCTGTGGTAACGCGGTCCTAACCCGCCTCTGCCCCATAACCCCGATTCACCCGGGAGACACAGACGCCAGGCTCCCTAGCACTTCGTCGCCTCTTCCTCCAGCCTGGCTTCCTAAGCTCGGGAAAGACCCCGGACTCCAGATCTCGTTTCCATCTTCGCATTCGCTGTCTGGGCCACATGCCTCCCTGGCTTATTTAGGAAGCGAAATTAAGGCCACACATTTGGCTCCAGAAATTTGTTCTGACCGAGCGGCCGACCCCCTGCAGGGTCGTTTCCTAATGACCAAATATCTCCGTTCTCAAGCCCTTGCCACCCCCTAGTACACAAAGTGCTAAATCTCCAAATATCCTGGTTCTCAAGCCCTTGCCACCCGCTAGCACACGAATCCCTGCCTGGCGGTGGAGCAGGTGTGTTGCTGGTAGCTCATCGTTGGCGTCAAGGTAGACGTGCTCGGTACCTGTCCGCTTTCCGATAACATCTGAAACCGTAACGAGGTACATCCCTCATCCAAATATCCACGTTTAAGGTGTCCAGATTCGAGTTTGGTCTGACCTACCCCTCCCCGCGCCGACCCTGGAGGCATCTTCCGTGTGCTCTTTCTCTTCGAACCCCCAGGGATAAGCGCCTGGGTGTGCCAGGTCCGCCTCTTCACTGGCGCTGGCCGGGGGCGGGGTGGGTAGGCTGGGACCTGTGTCTGATTAGCTGGGAGGGGGAAGCAATGGTCCCAACCGCTGTCTGCTGCGCTCCAGTCCTTCCAGGCTCTTCCAGGAGGAAGAGGCACTATACAAGAGAGGAGGGCAGGGGTCCCAGTACTGAATACCCTTGCCGGGGTTTTGACAGCTGCCGCCGTCTCTGAACTCCCACCTCGCGCCGAACCGTGTTCCTGTCATGGGAACCCCTTCCAGCTCAGGTTTCTATGTGAGCCGCGCAGTGGCCCTGCTGCTGGCGGGGCTGGTAGCCGCCCTTCTGCTGGCTCTGGTCATACTCGCCGCCTTTTACGGCCACTGCGCTCGCATCCCACCGTCGGCGCTGCCTGGATTCTGGGACTCGGAAGCCGAGTGTTCTCCTCCCCGCAGGCAGAAGTCGACCCCGACCCCGACCCCCGGCGCAGGCGAGCTAGCGGTGACGACCACCCCGAGACATGAGCGACCCCCGGGGCCCTGGGACCACCTACGCCTGCCGCCCTGGCTCTTGCCGCTGCACTACGACCTGGAGCTGTGGCCGCTCCTGAGGCCCGACAAGCTTCCGGCAAGGTCTTTTCTCTTCTTTGGCCGCGTGAACATCACGGTGCGCTGCACCGTGGCCACTGTTCGACTGCTGCTGCATAGCCTCTTCCAGGACTGCGAGGGCGCCGAGGTGCGGGGCCCCCTGTCCCCGGGCACTGGGAACACCACCGTGGGCCGCGTACCAGTGGACAAGGTGTGGTTCGCTCTGGACACCGAATACATGGTGCTGGAGCTCGGTGAGCCCCTGCAACCTGGTAGCAGCTACGAGCTGCAGCTCAGCTTCTCGGGAGTGGTGTTTGAAGACCTCAAGGAGGGACTCTTCTTCAGCGAGTACACCGACCAGGGCGAGCGCAGGTAAGGGGCTGGACAGCCCGGGGCCCTTCTCGGCTCTCCCCTCCCCTCCGCCCCCTCTGTCCCGGTGCAGCCTGCGGGTCCAGCTGCCTACCTTAACCAGGTGCGCGTCTGCTGCCCTTTCCAAAGAATCTCCAGCCCGTCCCGTGCAACGTTTTCTTCCAAAGCCAGAGTGCGAGCGCCTCCCTCCTCTCTTTTCCTAAGACTTTGCTCCGAATAAAGTGACCGTGGAGACCGCAGTCCTTCCTCTGGCCAGTTTCTAACACGATTCCTGCTCATCCAGTTGGCTTCTGTTGCTGCCCCTTCTGAGGCCACTGGTACCCCCAGCTTATCGTTTTCTTCAGAAAGCACCTTTCCTCTCTAGCCCTAAATTTCTTCACCCCATTCAACAAACCCCTTAGCCCTCAAAGGTTGGTCCTTGGACCAGCGGCAGCTGTAACCTGGGAGCTTGTTAGAAATGCAGAATCTCAGACTCCACGCCCGACCAAGGGAATCGGAATTTCCCTTTTAAGTATATCTCCTGGTGATTGAGGCGCGCTAAAGTTGGAGACGTGTCTGGCTAAAGTACCCTGTCGGGTTCTGAGGTTCTTCCCTCCTCAAGCCCATCTCCCTGTTTTGTCTCTTTCTCCAGGCACCCTATAGCTGCTGCTCTTATAACAAATATACACACGTTGGGGCTATTTGCTCCCAATATCTTTTGATTTTTGCTAAGGTTCTCCAAAACTTAGGAATTGCTTTTAAGTCGTCCCCGGCCACGGCTGCTTGGGGTCCGCATCAGCTTTTGCTGGCGAGCAGCTGCATCCCTACCCGCTCCGGGCTCTTAGCCGAGCTCTGCAGAATGGGAAAGCCAGGCACGTTTGGGATTTCTCTGCCGTTGAGTGAAGGGGATGTGGGGGGGACAATAAAGGGATAATAGGAGAATAGGAGACCTACCCTCCGAGTTTGCAAGCCCATATAATGTACATGTGTTCTTTTTACCCTCATTTGAAGATAGTATCTCCCACACGGAATGTTTCCTGCCCCTGGGCAAGAATTGTCTCTTTCCAGGCTCGCAAACCACGATACTGTACTCCATCGAACACCGGGGACATGGCTTAAGTGGGAGATATCAAAATTTAATTTTTTTCCAACCGGCGATCTCTTTCTCCACTCACACACTGGTGGAGCATTTGAGACGTACACAACTGCATGTACTTTTTCCTTTATTATTAGAGAAAATGTTCTCAGATGTTCTCTGAGGGAAAGAATCCCACTACATTACCCACCTAAACCATCTCCTGCACCGACTTCAAAATTTCAAAGGTTTAAAAATAAGTTTAAAGAGCTACCCTAGTGGATGTGTAATCTGTAACTTTTGTTTTTAAGGGCAGTGTGCTTGGTTTTCCTCTTTAAAAAATACATCAATGCTTGAAAAAATAGTTTTGAAATTTTCTTATTCAGATGATGTGTTACCCAACTTATGTGAACAAGGAATCTTTTGAAATTACTGTGTACGTCAAGGTGCAAAATATTTCAGAAGAAAAAATGGAAACATTTTGCCTACATATCTGACTTTTTTTTTTTTTTGCTGTAGGTCAGTAAATCTTCCTCTGTTCACCTATCTCTTCCTTGGCCCTGTTTCAGCGGGGCTATAGCCCAGACAAGCTTGCAAAGATGGGAAAGGAAAGTCCCTTTCCATTTTTCTATTGTGATGCTAACTCCAGTGTTAACTAGAAACTATATTTTCAGAACATTAAAATTCAAGCTAGAAGAAATCTTAGATGTTCATAAACCAAGGTAGAGCTCCAAAATTGTGATGTTTTGGAAGAGTTGTTACCCTCTGGGTCTCTGCTTCTGAAACCACAAGGAAAAGACACCTAAGGTTAAGCTTGAAGCAAGGGTAATGGAGAACCTGCATCAGAAGTTTGGCTTGTGGTATAGCAGATTCTGGGAGCCCAGCAGGTCTGAGTTTGAACCGGAGCTGTGTGAATTGAGCTAGTCTCTTAACCTCTCTGAATCTGTTTCCTGATTCATGGGGTAGATATAATAACTGTCAACTATTAAAGTACTGTGAGAATTAAGTGGAAAAGGGAAGTACACAGTGATACATACAGCCTGGGTAGTGGAAACTGCTATCCTTAGTTCAGATTATCATTATGATCAGCTTCCTTGTTATCTAAACACAGAACCTGCTAGTATATATGAGTTCCTAGTATATATGAGTCTAAGAAGATTCCCAGAGGAGAAGAAGAAAGAAGCTGAGGGAGTGGGGAGTTATTGCTTGATGGGTATAGATTTTAGTTTTGGAAGATGATAAGCGTTCTGGAGTTATGTTGACAACCTATCTCCAAAACTTATTCACAATGTGAATGTACTTAACACTACTGAACTATACACTTTAAGATGTTAAAGTGGTAAACTTTATGTTATGTGTAATTTACTAGAATTCAAAATTTTTAAAGAGCAAAAATACATTATAGATCAATGAGTTTAGAATGGGATTTGGAAATTTGTATGTTTTGACAACTGTCTCAGATAATTCTAATACCTACAATTAACACCTGATAATTTTGTGTCCCGCACCCAAATCTAATTTTGAATTGTAGTCCCATAACCCCGTGGGAGGTAATTGGAACATGGGGGAAGTTTCCCCCATGCTATTTCTCCTGATAGTGAGTATGTCTCATGAGATCTGATGGTTTTATGAGCATCTGGCATTTCCCCTGCTTGCACTCCCTCCATCTTGCCAGCCTGTGAAGGAAGTGCCTTTCTTCCCCTTCACCTTCTGCCATGACTGTAAGTTTCCTGAGGCCTTCCCAGCCATGCGGAACTGAGTCAATTAAACCTCTTTTTTTTTATAAATTACCCAGTCTTGGGTATTTCTTCATAGCAGCATGAGTATAAACTTATACAGTTCCTAATGCTTTTTCTTACTTTTTATTTTGAAATAATTATAGATTCACCAGAAGTTGCAAAGATAATGTTGAGAGATCCTGGGTACCCTTCATCTAGTTATCTTGCATAATTATAGTACAATTGGTACTATGTATATACATACGTTTTTATGTCATTCATCATATGCGTATATTTGTGCAAAAATTACCGCAATAAAGATACAGAGCTGTTCCACCCCAAAGATCATCCTCATAGTTCTCCTCTATACTCACTAATACCACTCCCTAATCATCTCTAACCCCTGACAACCACTAATCTGTTCTCTATCTTTGTAATTATGTCATTTTGAGAATGTTCTACAAATGGAATTATATAGCATGTGACTTTTAGAGATCAACTTTTCAGACTCAGCAAAATGCCCCTGGGATCCATCCAAGTTGTAAGCATCAATAGTTTGAGTCCTTTTATTGCTCAGTGCTATTCCATGGTATAGTTTATTTAGTCATTCATCTATTGAGGAGTATACTGTTTGTTTCCAGTTTTTTGTTATTACATATAAATCTTCTATGAATAATTGTGACAAATTTTTCTCTTTAAGAGGCATGGTCCCTCTATGTTGCCCAGGCTAGCCTCAAACTTTTGGCCCCATGGGATCCTCCTACCTTTGCCTTCCAAAGCACTTGTACAGGTTTTCGTGTAAACACAATGTTTATTTTACTGGGACAAATGTCCACAAATGTCATTGCTGGTCATGTGGTAGTCTCATGTTTAGTTCTTAAGAAATTAACAAATTGTTTTTCAAAGTGGCTATACCATTTTACACTCCTACTAGCAAGGCATGTGTGATAGAGGTTCTCATTGTGGTTTCAATTTGCACATCTCCAATGGCTAATGATGTTAAACATCCTTTTGTGTGCTTATTTGCTATCTGTTTGTCATAGTCAGTGAAACATCTTTTCATGTCTTTTCCAATTTTCTAACAGATTTTTTTTACTGTTGAATTCTGAAAGTTCTTTATACAGTCTAGATCTAAGTCCTTTGTGAGATATATATATGGTTTGCAAATATGTTCTCTCAGCTTGTCTTTTCATCACTTTACGTTTTTAATTTTGATGAAGTCCAATTAATCTGTTTTTAGTGGATCATGCTGTTGGTGTCATGCCGGAGAACTCTTCACCAAGCCCTAGGTTCTGCAGATTTTCTATATTGCCAAAAGTGTTTTACACTGAAATCTATAATCCACTTTGAGATAAGTTTTTTAAGATGTCATGTTTAGGTTGAGGTTAATTCTTTTGTTTATGGATACTCACTTTTTCCAGCATCACTTGTTAAAAAACTATGTATCCTCCCTCTGTTGAATTGTACCTTTGTCAAAAATCTGTTGGCCACAGTATTACTGGATTCTCTATTCTGTTCCATCAATATCGGTGTTGATTCCTCTGCCAGTACTACAGTCTTAATTACTGTAGTTATATAATAAGTCTTGAAATTGTCATTTTTAGAATTGTTTTAACTATTTTAGTTTCTTTGCCTGTCCCTATATATTTTACAATTTTCTTATATATAGCTACTAAAAATTTTACTGGAATTTTGATGGGACCTATATTAAACCTTTATGTAAATTTAGGGAGAATTGATAGCTTTACTGTCCTTAATCTTCCATTCTATGAGCATGAAATGTCCATTTATTTAGGTTTTTTATTTCATCAGGATTTTATCATTTTTAGCATACAAATCCGACATATGTTTTGTTAGATTTACACTCAAATATTTAATTTTGTTTGAGAAATAGTAAATGGTATTATATGTTTGATTTTGGTTTTCTACATGTCTGTTGCTGCTATATAGAAATACGGTTTTGTATGCTGACCTTGTGTCCTGTGCTCTTGCTGAAGTCATGAAATCTAGAGCTTTGTGGTTTTTATTTTGTAGAGCCTTCGGAATTGTCTTCATAGATCATCATGTCATCGACAAACGGAGGCAGTTTTATTTATTCCACTTCAATCTATCTGCCATTTGTTTTCTTTTCCTGTCCTATTGTGTTGGCTAAGACTTCCAGCGCTATGTTAAATATGAGTGGTAAGAATGTACATTCTTGATTTTTCTCCTAATCTTAGGGGGAAAGTTTTTAGGCTTAACCACTAAGTAAAATATTAAATGTAGGTTTCTGTATATGTTTCTTTTTTATCATATTGAGAAAGTTGTCCTCTATTCATATTTTTTTCTGAAAGTTTTTTTTTTGCATGAATGCATGTTGAATTTTTCCAACACATTTTCTGCATAAATTGGTATAATTATGTGATTTTTTTCTTCTTGAGCCTGTTAATATGGGTATTATATTGATTGATTTTTGAAAATCGTGAGCAAGGCTTAGTGCTCCACCCCACCCCCCGCTTTTTTTAAGAGATGGGATCTCACTCTGTCACCTGAGCTGGAGTGCAGGGGCATGATCATAACTCACTCAAACTCTCAGGCCCAAGTGATCCTCTTGCCTCAGCTTCCTGACTAGCTAGATGGACAGGTACCTGGCTAGTGCCCCACCCTTTTTGATAAAAGCCCTTGCTATACAGTAGAGGAGAGTGGACAGTCCTTTTAATGCAGGAAGGAAGGTGGGGAAGACAAAGAAAAGAACAAATGGAGAA